AAAACACATCCCCCTAACCAAAACGCATACATTAACTTCCCCACCTAAAACATTCATTTATCACAGTGTACTTCAACCTGAATAAGAGGAAACGTGTGATTATATAAAGCTGTAAAAGGGTGGTGGAAGTCCAAATAGAGCCGTGAGGGGTTCAGGTTCCCAAGTGTGCTCAATATTTGACGCCAGAGTGGATTTACATCCTCACAAGGAGCCGTTGATCAATGTCAAAGAGTTAGTGTCATTACAGAGCTCACAGCTACGGACAGATAGTTAATGTCAGTGTGTAAATCTCCACAGACTCTGTGCTCCAGATGGTTTTCTGTAAGTCGGCAGAGTGAATTAAAGAAAAAGAGACTCCCCTCTCTTATCTCCCACATTAATCACTTTGTCTGTGTTCCTAAAACATGAAACATTCATTGTTCATAACAGTTTGTTACTGTTATAATTTGATGTTAAGGTGAGAAACATGCAGACGTGAGTCCATGTTCATTATGTCTCTCACATAAATACATCAAGTTTTTATTGGAAACATCTCAAACAATGTGATTTTTTTTTTTTTGTAATTTAACTTTTTATGAAATTACAGTCCATATCAGTGGTTCCCAACCTTTTTCCTAAAGGGGCCCCCATTTCTATCACCGACTACATTATAACATATAATATATTATATTTATATATTATATTTAATGTATGCTGATAAACACAATAACTGAGGGCAGATTATTTCCTGTGAATATTGATCGGAGATGAGTTTTACTCATCATTTTATGAGCTTTTTTTCAGTCTGTATTATGTTTTTCTTTTTTTTTAACAATAATACAGTTTTTTTTTTTAAATTCTGTGTTTTCTTCTACTTTATTCTTCTTTTAGCCTCAAAAAACAAAAACCCAGATCATTGGGTCATTAAAAACTTTTTTTAATGCAGAATGATGAAATATCGGCAAACTGTGTGTATTTGTAAAGTTTTCTTACATGCCTTTAAATCAAGAAGGCCCTGCGACCCCCCGTGGAGCTTTGGGAACCCCCCCAGGTTGGGAACCACTGACTACAAGATCCAGAATTTGATTCCAGATAAACATTTCACCCAAATATGGAAGAGCATCTGTGGAGCACGTGTAGAGAACATTCGTAGACTTGTTAGTTAATTGTGACATCCTGTTTTAATCTACCTGTTGTTGTTGTTGTTGTTGTTGTCTCCCGCAGCGAGGAAGCACACGAAGCAGGACTCGACGATGAACGAGGAGTGGAAGAGCATGTTTGGATCTCAGGAGCCGCCCCCCGCCCAGACCACCACGGTAAGAGCTTCACTGCGCCCGGGGGAAGGCGTGCTGCAGAGTCATTGATGTTTACAGTATGAGGTCTGTCTGGGACTGGTGCCATACAGCCAGAGGCACAGGCACACTCACACTGCGCTCCAGAAGGGTTTTATTCCCTTAAATGTGTTAGTAGGTTTTGTTTTCTGATCTCTGAGAGATTATTCTAGTAAATTATCCTGCAGTCTGCTTAGATACAGCTATCATCGGTCTGTTCACATACACAGGGTGTCTGCTGGTTCTTATCCAGTCTACAATCCAATAATCTGGACATTTTAGGCCTTAAAATGATTTCAACAGGTCTTAATATGTATCAGATACATGAAGTTAAAGTTAAAGTTTGGAAAAACGTAATCTTGCTGCAGAACTACAACTACAAAACAAAATCAACATTTCCTTCATATTCATCGTACAAACTTTTTGCTAGTATGGACATAAAATCTTAAATTGCATTCATAATGGTCTTAAAAAGTCTTTTTTAACCTGAAGTAAAAATACATTTAATGAGTTTAAACCTGTGGCTGCACATGGCTAAAGATTGTCCTGGTCGGAGCCAGGTGGCCTCCGTCGGTCCGCCCCTGGTTTCTCTGAGACTGTCAGAGACTATTAAATATAATAAATATAAATAAACTAAAATTAAACCATGAAGTTGTTTTTTTTTAATAAAATGAGTTCCTGGTACGATCATCGACATATATAAAGATAGACGACGTGACAGAGCCGAAACGTCTGTATCGCCCCCTGGTGGCCAACTGCAGTAAAAGTCAGTTGAAAAGAAGATTAAAGTCAGTAAAATAACGTCATTCTACCTCCTCCTCTGCTAAGAGTTCTTCTTTCTCTGTAACGTTGAACCAGGGAATATTTGACACAACCGACATTAATTTATAAATTTATATGCTTTTGCAGAAACGCATCATTAAGAAGACGTGAAGTCAAATCTTTGTCTTGTGTGATCAATCGAGTCTCTAGTATAGAAACTGATTGGAATAATTCATCAGAAACTGTTTGGTAGTTTAATTAATAACAAACGTCATACATTTTATAAACTCTTTATATGTTTGTGTGCAGAATTCTTGATTTTTAAATAGCTGTCAGGTAAAAGTAGTGAAGTAAAAATGTATATAATAGTATATATATGTAATATATAAGTAAAGTAATTAGTTACATTCCAGCAGTGGTTTTGATTTGACCATTAATGGTCTTTAACAGGTTCTGGCTCTGTGTTTCAGCTCCTTATTAAACAAGCTGTTAGTGAACGTTTGACTCATGTTTGTGTTCTGTTGGCTTTATGTTTTTGGCCGACATTCACGTGGTTCTCATTTTATGCCCGTGCTGAACAACGTCTTCGTCTCACCTTCAGTCGCGTTATAGCCCCGAACTGTTAGTCTGAGTCGGGGCCAAGTTTCCACACTGAGGCTGTGAGAGCGCCAAGATCTGCTGTGTGGTGAAGCTTCATTAGGTGCCAGTGGACCGTTGGGCCTGGCACCGAGGCCCTATGGACCGATTGTATTTGGAGAAGTTATCATTCTGAGGAGAAAAGCTGCTGCTGTGAAATCCAAAACAAAGCCTGCAAAATCCTAGAAGGACTGCACGATGTTATATCGACTGTTAGAAATACAAATGCAGGTTGCATTTACTTTATACTTTTCCTAAAATAAGATTGAAATAATAATATATATATATATGTACATATTGGAATATATTGAATCATAACCACTGTATCGTGATACGTATCATATCACCAGATAACTGGTTTTATCCCTAAATGATGCTTTTTGATAAGTTTTGTACTTTTGTCCAAACTAAATGATTATTTAATGAGATACTAAAGAGATTGAGTTGAAGCATTATTTATGGGATTGCTGTGACACAGTTTGACAACATGCAGAATCAACTGAACGTGTAGATTGATCCCTTCAGTAGCTGAGCGCTGCTAATAACGAACATTATCTAAATATATTCCTGCTGGTTTTCAGACAGAATCAGAAGTTTCAAAGTAAAATCTGAAACAACTGAAGAGCCGTTTCCCTCCATCAAAGTTTCTTTTGACGCCTGATTGTTGTTGTGGGAAAAATAAGGAACTGATGTGTTTTGCAGGCTGCCGACGGGCAGGCGGGACAGGTCAGGAAGAGCGCTGTGGCCCCGACGGTGCCCGTGCTGCAGTCGGTGGCGAGCGGCCCCGCCTACCAGCGCCGCATCAACACCTGTAAGGCAGAGCTGCAGCAGCTGGTGCAGCAGAAGAGAGAGCAGTGCAGCGCCGAGCGCATGGCCAAACAGATGATGGAGAGCGCCGAGTGGGAGAGCCGACCTCCTCCACCGGGTAACTCCCTGTTAGACGAGCTGATAAAGGCTGACCTGTTTACAGGAAACATAAGTTATGTTATGTTATGCAGGTTCTCCTGAAGGCTCACAGAGTTGTACTCGTGTGTTTCAGGGTGGCATCCTAAAGGGCTGCTGGTCGCCCACCTTCACGAGCACAAAGCCGCCGTGAACCGCATCCGAGTGTCTGACGAGCACTCCATCTTTGCTACAGCGTCCAACGACGGCACCGTCAAGGTCTGGGACAGTCAGAAGATGGAGGGAAAGACCACGACCACCAGGTGAGCGGACGAGCCCGGAGAGCGGACGGTCAGCACCACGTTACTGAAGACCACAAGTCACACTTCTGTTCGTCACTGCTCTATGTCAAATTAACTTGATTTAAATTATTTTGGAAGTTTAGATTTTTATTTAAATGTATAAACTCTGAACACTAGCTGTATTTCCAGAACCTTCACTGTCTGATTAACAGCCTCGTCAAACAGTCAGGGATTTGTAAAAACTCTTTTTTGTAAAAAGAAAAAGAAACCTGTTAAATATATTAGATTGTTATACATTTTAAAATACTTAATACGGACAAAGAATTGTATAAAAATATAGTAAGAGTCTGAAACATTGTGATATAATACAGTGAATCACATCAACACATCAAACAGAAGGTTGGACGTTGGCCGTGAGACCCTCTGTTGGCTCGTTGCTGTACGCTCACAGTGCTGTCGTGTCCCTGCAGGTCGGTGCTGACTTACTCTCGTATCGGCGGCCACGTGAAGACGTTGACCTTCTGTCAGGGGTCGCATTACCTGGCGGTGGCCTCGGACAACGGGTCCATCCAGCTGCTGGCGGTCGAAGCGAACAAGCCCCCAAAATCTCCCAAAGTTCAGCCCTTCCAGACGAGGTAACAGAACCGCGTCTGCAGGTAGAAGCTTTGTCCTGACCGATGAAGTGTCTCATTCTATACGTCCTTGCTCTCTCAGGTCTCTGGACCTGCAGGAGGACGGCTGCGCGGTCGACATCCACCATTTTAACTCGGGCGCACAGTCGGTGCTGGCGTACGCCACCGTCAACGGCTCGCTGGTCGGCTGGGATCTCCGCTCCAACTCCAACGCCTGGACGCTCCGCCACGACCTCCGCCTCGGACTCATCACCTCGTTCACCGTCGACATGCACCAGTGCTGGCTCTGCCTGGGTGTGTGTGTGTGTCTGTGTGTCTGTATATTTGTACTCTGATGTCAGATATGTGGTGGTATATGGTTGAGAAGTCTGAAACTTTGAGAGCGTCTTTATACGTACAAAGATGGAAATCCTCTAAAAACCTGATTTATTATTATGTGTTTGTAGTTTTGACTTTAGCCCTACAGAATTGTCCCTTTCAGCTCCCGTAGCTCACCTCCCAGCTCCCCATGTCCTCCGCAGGTACGAGCAGTGGCACTATGGCCTGCTGGGATATGCGGTTCCAGCTCCCCATCTCAAACCACTCCCACCCGGCCCGAGCGCGAATCAGACGCCTGCTGATGCATCCGCTCTACCAATCCTCCGTCATCGCAGGTGAGCCATTCATTTATAGACTCATTTATATCGTTTAAAGTGAAGTTAAGAGACACCATGTTGACCTCAGCTGTCTGTCTGTCTGTCTGTCTGTCTGTCTGTCTGCAGCTGTTCAGGGGAATAACGAAGTGTCCATGTGGGACATGGAGACTGGCGATCGTAAATTCACTCTGTGGGCGAGTTCTGCACCTCCGCTGTCTGAGATGCAGGTTAGTGTGTGTGTGTGTGTGTTGTCACTCCTACACTGTAAAAACAAGCCCTTCTGGAAACAAATATGTTCTAAATATAATAAAGTTTTCTTGTATTGAGCAAAAAAAATCTGCCAGTTTTGTTTGTCTATTTTTAAAAGCAGCATAAGGTTTCAGCCACTGAAAGATTTTTAATTAATTGGCTTTAAAACTCGACAATAAACCTTTAATTCACTGCAGTTAGACGCTCTACAGCTGTGTCTGCTCCCACTCATCCAGTTATCAGCCTGTTAGAGACATTGTTTTAGGCTGTTTGTCTTCATGTTTTATTGTTTTATCTGAAACTTAATGCTGCTGCTCTCAGACAGAACTCATTTGTAGAAGAGATTTTGAATCTGCTAAAATAAAGGTCAAATAAAATAAAAAGGAATCAGACTTCACACAGCTGGAGACATTTAAGGTTTTATGTGCTGTAGACTTTTAATAGGTTTCATCATTTAGTTCTAGACAAACACTTTTATACTTTATAAAAACTACATTTCCTACAAATGTGTGTAATTTTTTACATTTTAAACATCAATTCATTAGTGTTTAATCGCCTGATTCTACACTAATGAACACATCTTCTTCTTTTTCTATCTACTTCTAGATGAAAAAACCGCCATGTTTCTACAGTAGCCCAGAACGGACAAACCAAACTTTGACGTTTTTTTTGCGAGTTTCGCTGCCACCGTAGTTTCAGTTTAATTTGGAAGGGGAGGGTGATGCGAGGGAGTTACAATCTGCAACTACACAGCTAGATGCTGCTAAATCCTACACACTGATTTTGTTTTGCAGCCGTCTCCTCACAGCGTTCACGGGATCTACTGCAGTCCTGCTGACGGGAACCCTCTGCTGCTGACTGCTGGATCTGACATGAGGATCAGGTCTGAACCAGACACACAACAACAACAACAACAACAACAACAACAACAACCTGCATTAAACCACAAACTGTCACATAGAACACAGTCAGGGCCTTTTATAACAATAATCCAACTTGTTTTTATTTGAAGTTGCGTATTTTATATAAATGTTTTTACACGTTGTTCTACGACGGAGTTTTAGGGCCAGACTAAGATTTAAAAAATCAATATATTTTTGGGGTAATTACGGGAATAAACTCGTTACAAACAGTAAATCCCTTTTTTCTCATTAAAATGACATTTCTTCTTGTATTATTATTATTACATTATTCTTATATTATTCTCGTAATTTCCCCCCAAAAAATTAAAAGAACTCTTAGTCTGGCCCTAATACTCCATCGTATTGATCAGTTTATCAGCTGTTCTCTGCTGTTATTACTGAATATAATGTGGAATAAACATAGTACATATATACATGATTATGAATGATGCATAAATATGAAAACAGAAGAAATGGCGAATCTCATCTGTTCTACATGTGACAAAGCACAGAGGAGGCTTCTGCTGTGACAGACGGAGAGGACCGGTCCAAACTTCCTCCCACATAATGAATCACTGAGGACAGAACAGACTTCCTGACCTCCCTGCAGCATCAGAACATCTGCTGCTCAATGAAATTCTGGAGAAATTCTCCTCAAACACAAACAGAAACACAAACAGAAACACAAGAGTAAATCATAACTGTGAACTAACGTTCAATGAAAGCAGGGTCACTGGTGTGGCAGGTCTCCATTACAGGCCTGGTCTGGATTATATAGTTATCTGGACGTATGTAACCGGGTCGAACGCTTCAACTAGTTTTAATTCATTTAATGTTTATTCAGACTCACAGGTAACACTGAACAACAGAGACAGGAAGAAGAAAACTCTGAAGCATCATAAAGTCCGTTAATTAAAGGCCAGTGGGGGGTTCAGCGAGTGAGGTTTTAGGGTATTTGAAGCGTCGGTCTCACCTTCAGGAGCAGCACACACTTAAACTAAATGTTTTGTGGTTCAGGTTCTGGGACCTGGCGTATCCCGAGAGGTCGTACATCGTGGCGGGAGGAGCCAACGACTCGCTGCACTGTCCGTCTGTCCTCTACAGCAGGAAGATCATCGAAGGGACTGAGGTCGTACAGGTGGGTACACACACTGCACAGGTACACACACAGCACAGGTACACACACTGCACAGGTACACACACAGC